TAGGTACATGTAGAAGTTAGATGTTAGGTTTACAGTTGAGGTCAATTTTAAGTCTAAAGTTTAACCATATTTTGTATTGTAGGATAAATTACGGTTAATGTTTGGGTTAAGGGTACTGTTAAAGTTGAGTTAAGGTTAAGGTTAAGGTTTATTTTTCGTTTAACCTTAAGTTTTATTCAAGCATATGATGGCTATCATTTAAAGTTGAGGTTAAGGTTAAGGTTATTTTTTCTGGTAACCTTAAGCTTTATTCAAGCATATGTTGGCTATTTTGTTAGGTTAAGGTTAAAGTTAAGGTTGATCTTAAGGTTAAGGTTAAGGTAAAGATTAAGGTTAAAGTTAATTTTTCGTTTATCCTTAAGCATAATTTAAAGATACGTTGACTATATCATAACAGTGGGGAATACTCAAGGTTGTCTAAGATGAAGGTATGACTGATCGTTATCGAGATATGTACATGTAGGAGTTAAATATTAGGTTTATAGTTGATGTTAAGGTTAAGTCTAATTTTTAGTTTAACTTTATATTCCATTGAAGGATATATTGGCTATTATTTTAAGTAACGGTCAATTTACGGGTTAAGGTTAAGACTAAGTTTTATTTTTCGTTTAACCTTAAGCTTTATTTCAGCGTATGTTGGCTATTATTGAAGGATAAGGTTAAGGTTAAGGTTATTTTTTCGTGTCACTTCAATGTGTATTTAAGCATATGTTGGCTATTATTTAAGGTTAGGGTTAATGTTAGGGTAAAGGTTAAGGACAAATTTAAGGTTAAGATTATTTCTTCGTGTAACCTGAAGCTTTATTCAAGCAAATGCTGGCTATTTCTTTAGGTAACGGTTAAGGTAAAGGTCAAGGTTAAGGTTATGGTTAATTTTTCAGTCAAAAATACGTTAGCTATATCATAACAGTGGTAGCCGTGGGGAATAATCAAGGTTGTCTAAGATGAAGGTATGACTGATCGTTATCGAGATAGGTACATGTAGGAGTTAAATATTAGGTTTATAGTTGAGGTTAAGGTTAAGTCTAATTTTTAGTTTAACCTTATATTCTATTGATGGATATATTGGCTATTATTTTATGTAACGGTCAATTTTAGGGTTAAGTTTAAGGTTAAGGTTTATTTTTCGTTTAACCTTAAGCTTTATTGCAGCGTATGTTGGCTATTACTGAAGGTTAAGGTTATTTTTTCGTGTCACTTTAATGTGTATTTAAACATATGTTGGCTATTATTTAAGGTAAAGGTTATGGTAAGGGTTAAGGTTAAGGACAAGTTTAAGGGTAATGTTATTTCTTCGTGTAACCTTAAGCTTTATTCAAGCATATGTTGGCTATTTTTTTAGGTAACGGTTAAGGTTAAGGTCAAGGTTAAGGTTATGGTTAATTTTACGTTCAAAAATACGTTGGCTATATCATAAAAGTGGTAGCCGTGGGGAATACTCAAGGTTGTCTAAGATGAAGTTATGACTGACCGTTATCGAGATAGGTACATATTGGAGGTAGATGTTAGGTTTAAAGTAAAGGTCAATTTTGAATCAAATGTTTTGTTTAACCTTAATTTTCATTGAAGGATATGTTGGCTATTATTTAAAGTTACGGTTTATATAAGAGTTAAAATTACGGTTAAGGTTAAGGTTAACGTCAATTTTTCGTTTAACCTTAAGTTATATTCAAGAATATGTTTGGCTTTTATTTTCGTCTTTTGTCTACATGCAGTCGATAGTGAATGAAGGCCTTGCGCGTGGTAGTATACCTTTATTGATAATTTAATTCAAATGTTACGTCTATTCGAATTTTTAATAGTTTATGCTGACTTTTTTTTTCTTTTCTTTTTCATAAGGTATAAGTGATTTGTGTAATACATTGATTAAATAATTATCTGTGACATTGAAATGGTTTGGGGGTGTCTTTGCCATTTCGGATTGTAAACAACAGAGAATCTAAGGTCCAGATTTGAATCAAGTTAGCAAAATTTGATGATGGAACTAATATTGATTTGCACCTAAAAGAACAAATTAATAAGATTATAACTTATAAATTTTAATATTTTTTGCTTCATTTCTAATGTTTTTATTTTGGCATGTTAAGGGGATGTATAAACTCTGAAATAGTGCATTTTGTGAAGGAATCTACACTTAATTTTGCTATTTTGCATTTTAGCTGGAAAAAACGCACGGTGGTCCTATCTTTTTCTTTTGATATTCTAAACGCAATTCCATCTTTTCGTATTTTTTTTACAATTCTATTATTTAGTTTAACTTCTAATCACATAATGATGTTTTTTTCCTGTATAATCCGTACAAAATGTGTCATTTTGTCACTTCCTGTAGATTGAGAGAATACACGGTGACCCATCTTTTTTATTATATTTTTGAAAATATATCAATATATACTACGCCAGGCAAAGTATGAACAAATTCTATCGTTCTTGCTTTAGACTCCAATACAGCCTTAAGTGACAATTTTGTATTCGTCTTTTGATTTAGTTTTTCTGTTTGATATATACAGGAAGGAAATAAAAAAGAAGGAAGACAAGTGGTTAGTAACATTTAACTATAAGACAAAATACGAACATTTCAGGTTAGGGTTAGGGTTAGGGTTAGGGTTAGGGTTAGGGTTAGGGTTAGGGTTAGGGTTAGGGTTAGGGTTAGGGTTAGGGTTAGGGGGTTTTTACTAGACTGCAACTGAGTTGCACTAAGGGAGATAATTTGTTTTTAGTACAGACTTCGCTGATATGAAATGAATCCAGAAAATAAAATTCCAGTGACTTTGTTGTATTTGCGCATGTGCCTGAATTTTGATGGAATAATGGCGACATGATTTGTAAGCTGCATGACGTCATAGGACGTAACGAAAATATTAGAAATTACATACATACATACGTACATACATACATACATACATACATACATACATACATACATACATACATACATACATACGAACATACATGGATACATACATACATACATACATGCGCAGAGCGACCAACGCATATACAGAGGAGATGATAATGCGCATTCATGTTATTTGCATAATATATGGTATAAATATATGTAAACAAAAAGCAGAGCTACATTCTAAAATGGTTTATAAGATGTATGTGCACTATACATTTATGAGGTCTGGAGGACATATGGTGGGTGATGGTACGTTCAAGGCAAGCGGTGCATACAAAGATGCAGTAATTAAGAAGTGGGATGTACAGAGCCACCATTTTGAAAGCGTTAATGATATCTTTTCATACTGTATATTCTTTAGGTCTGGAGGACATTGTGTAGTGATGGAGTTACACAGAGTTACTGCTTATGCGCATTCATATCATTTGGTTAATATGAAGTGTATATATGCTTTAAACGATCTGAGTCAGGTATGAACATTGGATCGAAATTTTTACTTTTTTTATTGATGTGTTCATGTGTTTGTGAAAACCAGAGTGAAACCAGATTTGTTAGCTGCATGACATTGAACGACGTAAAATAGTTTTTGGAACCTACACACATACTAACATATATGCATATAGATATTGATTATAACTTGGCATTTTTCATATCAGACCTCTTATCAGCCTTAGGTCATGATATCAGCCTGAGACCCGGATGGACTGATAGGGGGTCTGATATGAAAAATGACATGTTTTTCTTTTTATCATATACGTCAACAGAAGACATACAGACAAAGACTATTCTTAAAATGCTTTTGTTGTAATAAACGTTTGCATTTTTTAATAATATACTTTCCTGATACCTAATATTTTCTTTTTGTTCAACTTTGTTATGTTTTACACACAAACACGTACCATGGAGGTATATTTACCGGAATTTGCCGAATGACGTCAAATTGTCATGCGATACGTTACAGCAACGCATGCGATTATAAGCGGAAGCAGTTGATTTAAAACGGAAGCAGTTTATATAAACAGTAGGCAGTTGATAACAAAATTCATATCACACGGGTAAGGCAATTCTTCAAATTTGATGAATAAATATATGAACAAATTAGTCTTATCATGGGGAACACTTATACCATTATTTTTTATAAGTATATGATAAACATACATACATGCATATAAAATGCACACATACAAATAAATGCATACACATAAACATAAAAACATACAAACAAACAAACATACAAACATACAAACATATATACATACATGCACACAGTCAGGAATTCGTGAAAACCCTGTGAGACGCAAAATCTAGTATGATCTTATGATGCCATCAAAAGGAAATATTTGATATTGTCATCTCGATCCTACTTATGATCATCGCCTAATGTTTTTATTGTATAGAATGCTAGTAGTTATATTATGCGTAATTATGAGCCAATCATCCCTTTCAAAATAGTGATCTCTAATCCTTCATACCACACACGGGCTTGCGGACTGAATATCGGTGTTTACGTTGCGATGGCTGCAATGTGAAAATTTGTAAAGCAGGAAAGGTCATAGAAGATCATATCACCAATATTTGCAGGGATATTGACTTCCGTTTATTGAGTTTCACTCCTCGAAAAAAGTTGATTTCGTTCGTCCAAAAAATATCTTCCTACACATTTAGACCCAAAAAAAACACGTGTTGTTAACATTGCAACTAGTGCTCATCTTTAAGGTATATTTACTAAAGTAACACGTCTTCGCAAACGTGTATTTGTTTAGCTATGTTTTGCAACAGAAACAAGAAACCAACTCATTTTCATTTTATTCTTCTTTAGATAGACTGGTAGGGTAAGAATAAAAAAAAAAGTTTGGCTTGTCAATGTACAACAAACGATAACTAAGGTAACAGGCATGTAGCAGGGACCCTAAGCGTTGTATGAGCCATAATATACCCCTATAGCATGTCCTGCTAGGTTTTTACGATGAAAAGATTCATGCTGATATGGTCAATATAAGCGGTTGGTGATCCGATAGTGGAGTAGTGGTCGAATTAAGTAGTTTGTTTCCTTATCATCGATATATTAACGTAAACAGACGACACATCCAATTATCAGATTTCCTTATCTATGAAATACCTCATTGGTTTGCCTATGTGGTGATTGGTAAATATTATACCTGTAATGGGTAACTGGCCACAAAGTGATTGTCTTGCCTTTTGGATATGATATTTGTATTTCCTTTCTTAGGAAAAGGCCGGGATGCTTCAGACTATACTATCAGTATTCAGCCGACACCGGTGCAATGATAGTGACACATCTTTTAGAACTATAACACACTCCGTTAAGTCTGTAGTGAAAAATATCCAAGGTCAGTATGGTAAATACTAGCGGTTGGCTGCCCGATTAAGGGGAAGGGGTGAAATATAGATTTGTTTTTTTGTCATACCATTGTACAACTAACAATAACTAATGACAAAGACAGGTAGCCGGGAAACTTGGGCTTGTAATGAACTCTGATATACTTATATTACATGCCTAAGGGGTGAAATGGGTGTATTATTCCCTGTATATGCTTACAGGATGATTTTCTGGACTTTGGGGTTACTTCATCGTGTTTCCCTGCCTTGTGATGGTAGTTGAATCTTTTGTAAAAAAAACTTTATATAGTTAGCCAAGGTCTGAGGGACTGTATTTGCACCTTGTTTTATTTAAAATAGGCTCGGCTTGATCTGTATGGTATAGATCCGGCATCGGTTATGACAATATTTGCGGTTGGATAGCAGACATCCAAACATGGGTCGAATTAATAGCTTTATTGTCTTATGCTCGTACAAGTATTGACAACTAAGGAAGTATGTAGGCAACATGAACCTTATCAGCGTTCGTATGAGCTATTATATACCCATATAAAATGGCCGACGTGGTATATATAGTGAAAAGATTCGGGGTCGGTATTGTCATTGTTTGCGGCTGGGTACTCGATTTAGTTCTTGGTGTAGAAATGAAATGATGTCTTGCTTTACGATTGTAAAACTTATGGTTACTAGGATTCAAGCAGGCAATTTGGACCGTTGGCGTTGTAAAGATATTTGATATACTGATATGCCATGTCCGCGGGGTGCTCGAGGAATGATATAAACCCTTATTGGTTGTTGCTTATATAATAATTTTCTTGGCTTTGGTATTGTTTCATCGTAATTTTCTGTCTTAACACGAGACGAAGGACTTCTGAAACTGATTTTACTAGCTAGAGCGACCTTTGCCATGATATTTACACCTTGTTTGAACCTATAACAAAATAAACTTAGTCTATAGGGTTAAAAGGTCCTGGGTCAATATGTAAAATACTACTGTTTTGCACCTAGATATAAGGGTAGCAGTCGAAAAAATAGTGTTTTGTCTTACGATCGTCCAAATAATGGATGTAGGAAGGTAACCGGGTACCTTAGCTTTATAATAAGCAATAGCATACATTTTTGGCATCCCTGCGTGATGCTCACATAATATCAAACTCTTTTGGGTAATTTGCCATAGGGTGATTTTCTTGCTATTGAAGTTGGTTTATCGTTTTTTTCTGGCTTATCACTGGTCAAGTACTTTGGGAAGCCTTTGAATACTAGTCATGGCCTTTGGAATTTCATTTGCAAGGGGTAATTTTAAGATAAGGTTACTGTTCAGGTTAAGATATTAAGTTATTGTTTAACCTTAACGTTGATTGATGGTTAGTTGGTTTGTTGACAATTCATATTTAAGGTACAGGTAAATTCAAGGTTAAAAAATTAAGTTCCGGTTAAGGTTAAGATAAGATTGAAGGTGATTTTTAACCTTAATGTTCATAGATGGTTAATTGGTAGTTGAAAATTCAGATGAAAGGTTGCGGTAGCCTTGAGGTTAATTCAATGATAGATAAGGTTAAGGTGTAGGTTAAGGTTAAGGTTAATGTAAAAGTTAAGATTATAGTTGAAGTTAAAATTTAGTTTAAGGTTAAATTGAAGGTTTGTCTGAACCCCGCTGAAGGATGATTGGTATTTGAAAATTTAGATTAACGATTGAAATTGAGTTTTAAAATTGAGGAAGCCTTTAAGTTAATTGAAGGTTACAAAATGTCAAAGTTTCAGTTAAGTTTATTGTTTAAGTAAAGGTTAAGGTATGTTTTAACCTCATGATTTATTGAGGATTCATTAATAGTTATAAATTCAGATTAAAGGTGGAAGTACCCTTATGTGAACTATTATTGGTCTGTTGGTGTTTTTCTTATTTTGCCATATCGTTTTCAATTCAATTTCGATCTATTAGTTTGGCTGTCCCTCTGATATCGTTCGTCTCTCTTTTTTAAGGTTAATTGAAGATAAAAAAGAGTTAAGGTTTAGGTTAACAATAATGGTAATGTTAAGCTTAAGGTAAAGGTTAAAGTGAAGGTATGTTTTAACCTTAATGTTCATAGTTGAGGTAGCCTTAATGTTAACCACATACCACATCTTCTTATATCTATTAATGTTAATTCAAGGTTAGAGAAAGTGAAGGTTTATGTTTAGGTTAAGGTTAAGGTTAAAGGTAAGGAAAAGGTTAAGGTTAATGTCAATTTTAGGGTATATCATAGTAGTTTAATTTTAAGGTTGATTGAAGGACAATTTTTGTACGGTAAAGGGTTAGGGTTGTGAATAAGGTCAAAGGTAAACATTATGGTTACAGTTAAGTTTAAGACAAGATTAAGCTTGAAATCAAAATTTCATCTTTGCGCATGTACACCTGGTAAGGGTGCGTGTGCAAACTGTCGAATTATAGGAAGTTATTAGTAGAAAGAACACTTCTATATATTTTGTGTTATGGATTATAAATTAGTTAAACCAGGTAAGTAACATTCGTATGTCTTACTAATGGATATCAAATTAGTAGACGCAGGCATTTGGTATTTTTATTCACAAATTGAGACCAAATTTTGTATGAAAATGTTTTGTTTTTAAACACTTTTCAGTCGACATTCCGGATAAATAGGGCAAGTTCTCTGTGCCAACGAAAGATATTATTATTTAACTAACTCCGAATTAGCCGACTTTTCGCTTGAGCATAGATAGATTGTCTGGTCTCTGTGGGTGTTCTACATTACCCGAATTGAATGCAGTTATCATTATTTTAAAGAATTCTGTACAACGCTTATCAACGCTTAATTCTGTACTATTTTTTTGTGTATTCGTCTATTTATTTTAGGCATGGCGTTGTCAGTTTGTTTTCAGTTGATACCCTTTGGTATCTTTCGTCCTTCTTTTATCAGAAATGTGAAACTCGGAGTGTCAATTTTTGAAATTAAGATACAAGTATTATGTACACGATGTATACACCTTGGCAATGAATGTATCAAACTTAAATAACAGGCGTAATAATATATTAATATATGTTAAGAGTCCAAGCACCGTGACGACTATCTAAAATGTCTTATTTATACAACTTGAATGAGTGCATTAATGATATAATTCTGAAATTTGTAGATTTGCGAAGATCAAATAGAAGAATATTAAAAATTGAAGATTACATAAATAGTAAATCAGATCGACAAGGGTTTTTGGTAAGAAAGATTGACGACATAAAAGGTAAATACTAGTTATTCTGTTTATTTAGAACTTATGCGTAAACTGTTTTGTTTTTTCAGCGTGTTAATATGTTGTTTCATTGTAATACCTGGATAGGTGTTTTAGAAAAGTTTACTTACGAATGATTTTTGTATCTTCAATCTCTCTTCATTTGCGGTACCTTTTACAAGCATGCATTGTATTTCAAGTTTTGTTTTCTCAATTTGGTCTTTAAAAAAAGGTTATTTTTTTATTTTAATATGCATTAAATTCATAAACATGCGGTGAATATTTTTTTCTTCATACTTTGTTAAAAATTTTGAAAACAATAAATTTCAAATTATACATGTTCACTAGTATTAGTATTTAAGTATTTGTGATGAAAATATTTTCTAAAATGGTTTCTTTTTCGAAAAAAATATAGTTTACTAACAACATATTTATTAATATTATATTTTACTTAATCAATCAATCATCGTTATGTAGTTTAAAATGTTTTGAGCTGTTTGATGTGTATATTTGTCGTTTAACTTTATAAAAGGAAGAGGTGTGTTTACGACAAAACAGTTTGAAAAAGGCGAGTTTATGTTCGAATATCGCGGAAATTTAACAACAGTTGATCCAGGCTTCAACGAGTACGCATTCGAGTTTATTTGGAATTCAAGAAAATGTTGGTAAGTTTAAAACTTTTTATGCTAGATGAAAAATGTTTTTTTTTTTCTTGTAGACTTCAAAACCATATAGTAGCGGTTAGAACACGTAAATGACATACAGGTGGTATGGGCGTATTTCGCCATCTTGGATTGTAAAAAATCAGTGAACCAAATGTCTAGTTTCTATTAATTAAGTTAACAAAATTTGATGCAAAAATGCAGATAACTAAATGTGAACTGTTATTTGAAAAAAAAACGTTTATAAGATAATGATTATAAGTATTAACACTTTCGCAAGTGTAGATTAATTTTGGTTTAACAAATGCCATTTGAATGGAAGGTAACTCTGGAAAAAGTGCACTTTTCTGAAGATCTACATGGAATTTTCCTATTTCGTATTTTAGCCGGAAAAAAAACGTACGGTGACTTTATCCCTTCTTTTGATATTCTCAAATCATTGTCTTGATGCTATCTTTTTGTGTTTTATTTTACAATTCTATCAAGTAGTGTAGCTTCTAATCGCATACTGATGTTATTACCCGTATACGCCATACACAATGTGCCACAACCTGTAGCTTGATAAATTGCACGGTGACCTATCGTTTTTAGTATAGTTTGGAACAGATATTAATATACAGTAGGTTTTGGCAAAGTGAGCGAATTTTATCCTTTCATTTTAGACTCCCATACCACCTTAAGGAATTCAATACGTTGTTTTTTTTTATTGATTATTCATTTTTTGAATTTTGGTAATCATGCAATTGCAAAAATCTTCGATATTTCAATTGCAATTATCTGCCCCTTTCTATCACACAATTTCTTTTTCCGTATAGAGTCGACTTTATAAATGATCCTTTTTAGTAAAATAGAAAAAAATATATTGCTTTTATATTAATATCACGCTATTTAGATATATTTCTTTAAGTTGATTTATAACTCATCATTTATCAAAATCAAGGATACCAGAAATAAAACCAGTTCTGGCCTGATTCCTACATTGATGTATATTAATATATCGAAAATGACCTCAAACCTTTCACCGACTGTTAATTATCACTGATCAATAACTTTTTTGTTTACCTTTAACTTACAGCAAACTTCAAACTGAACTTTTACCTATAATCTTAACATTTACTATTGACGTTAACCCTCACATTTACTTCTAACCTTAATCTGTAACCTTAACAGTTAATTTTAACCTTAATCTTTAACCTTTCCAGTTACTTGTAACATTAATCTTTAACCTTATCATTAGACCATAACCTTAAATCCTATAGCTTTTACCATTCACTAGAATCCTTACCTTAAATAATTTGATACCTTCGCATCAGTAAGCTACAGTTTAACAGTAAGTTGTTCTTTCCATCTAGGATCGATGCATCTATTGACGACAAATCCTTGGGAAGGCTCGTAAACGATGACGAGAATGATAGTAACTCTATTGTTATTTAGAATAATTGTCGGTGGTCTTCCCCATCTTTGTTTCTTTGCTACAAGAACAATCAGCGAAGGTGAAGAAGTAACATTCACATATTTTCAAGGAGAATATGACCAGTTTCCTTGGCGGTTAAAGGTAAGTATTATGTACTTCAGGATTTGTTAATGACACAATTTGTGAATGCATACAGATAGCGAGTCTTGTTCAAGTTTAAAGGTTAAAATTTAAGGTTAAGGTGATGGTTTTATTTAAAGGTTAAGATAAAATCCAAAAGTTAAGGTTATAATGAATGTTAGGTAAAGGTTGCTGTTGACATTCAAATTATGTATGCGCATGTGCAGTTAACAGAACGCTTCTGTTAAAGGTTAGTTGATCGTCGGATAAGTGTTTTTCTTGTGATTGAATTATAATACCATTGTGGAGAAATTTTCATGAAAGGTAAGCATTTACTCCTTTATATCAGAATCATTCTAAGAATTGTTTAAAACGACGCCTTTGTCCATTGATTTGATTAAGCACACATAGTAAATCTTATGAAAACTAAAGGTTAATCCTTGAAGTTTAATTTACGAAAACATTATATTATAGTTAATGTTAAACTTTTATCATTTCTGAAACCAATACTTCAGTATACATTTACATATCAATATCATAGCGTGGTCAATTATCACACTTATATTTATAAAAACACTTTTCGTAAATAAAAAAAGAAGATGTGGTATGATTATTAATGAGACAACTCTCCACTGCAGACCAAAATGAAACAGTAATTAACAACTATAGGTCACCGTACGGCTTTCGACAATGAGCAAAACCGATACCGCGTAGTACGCTATACAAGACCCCGAAATGACAATGTAAAACAATTCAAACGTGAAAACTAACGGTCTTATATATGTACAAAAAGTATACGAAAATCAAATATGTAACACAGCAACAAACGACAACCACTGAATTACAGGCTCTTGACTTAGGACAGGCACTTACATACAGAATGGGGTGGGGTTAAACATATTAGCAGGATCCCATTCCTCCCCCGAACCTGGGACAGTGGTTTTAAAGTACAACATATGAAAAACCTATACAAATCAGTTAAAATTGGCATAAATCATCAGATGAACAAAAATACAAGTGGACTACAACACCGCACTAGAAACTTTTTTCTCTCTTTACATGAATGATAAGTTAGGAGTGACACAATTTCCCTAAATTGCTCTCACCCTTACTCCTTATTTTGTCTCATATCGGTCTGTTGTATACAATTTGACAATTAATCTTTAGAAATAACCGAAATTCCCTTCATATGTCGAAATTTAATAACCGTGACAAATAATAACTTATTTTTTTTGTAAAAAATGGTCTGTTGTACATTACTTGCAATCTTGGATGTTACTGTTTGTCGTGAATGTTTGACTGATCCATGAGTAGTCGTTGCTCGGTGACCTATAGAATTCGTCAGATAAGCCAAATAAGCTATGTGAGAGTTACCGTGACAACGGTCAGCGATCGATCAGTAGATTTATCTTATGCACGGATCTGACGGATACGTATATGTTTAAAATTCTTATGTAAACCGAACTCCACAGTGTTTACATTCGATGAACACTGACCTCCACGAAGACACCTTTACTCGTTTAGTTGTAATAAACTAAGTTGCAATAACAAATAAAAAAAAATAAATATGAATTACTTTTCACACATCATGTGTATATCTTCATATTCTTTAATTTAAATTTTGCTAAAAAATTAAATAAGTGCAGACTAACGATATGCTTATTTACCACTCATAAGCGATAAAATGTTATCATTTAAAATATGTACTATATCTAGCAATTCATGTCACTAGATGATAAAAGTAAAAATAGTATAACATTAAAGAAGCTCAGAGCTTTGTTTGTCTTGATTAAAAGTGTTGTTTTAACTATTGTTTTGAATTTCTTTAATTTCTTCATTTGATAAAAAGTAATGTAATCTTATTTATAATTATGTATTGTAATGTTCTCGAGATAAGTGTTTTCTATGAATTAAAAGATAATCAGAAATAAAAAAAAATAAAAATTTTGTTTTTGTAGAATAAGAATGCAGTTATTGCTTTATTTTAATACAAATTATAAACTGTCAAAAGATTTCAATACTTTTTCTACATCAGGATTGGTTGTTCTTCAGAAAAAAATAGACTGAATATAAGGGAAATGATACACAATTTAATGCAAATATTTCATCTCATATTTGAAATGATTCAACATCAATTGCAAATAGTCTTTAAAATGTCTTTTGATAAGTAATTCTGTATAAGATTTGATTTTTTGAAGGATACATATGTCAAACTTTTGTTTTATTGGATCAAGAATGCAATCATTTCTGCCTTTTCCATGGAAATTATTGACTGCCATTGGATTTTTGTACTTTTAACAGTTTTGGACTGGTTGTTTTTTTCATAAAATTAAAAGATTATCAAAGAAAATATACTAAAATGGTGTTTGCATTGTTCAAATTAACCAAATTATTCTTCTTTTGATAAAAAATGATGCCATTTTATTTGGAATTAGTTATTTCAAAAGCATTTATAAAAGTCTTATTTACGAATTTAGATCTCATCAGAATTAAAATACTCAAAGTTTGGTTTTTGTTGAAAAAGAATGCAGTTATTGCTTTATTTTAATACACATTATAAACTGCCATAAGATTTCAGTACTTTTTGAACATCAGGATTGGTTGTTTTTCATTAAATAGGCTGAATTCAAGGGAAAAGACACTAAACTTTTGTACGTGTTGCCTTGAATGCAAATATTTCTTCTCATTTTTCAAATAATGCAACTTTAATTGCAATCAGCCTTTAAATATGCCTTTTGATAAGTTATTTTGAATAAAATGTGAATTTTTGAAGGATAGATATGCTTAAACTTTTGTTTTTGTTGAACAAGAATGCA